TATATATATATATATATATATATGATTATATTTCTCAGGCTTTCTACCATCCCTGCTTTTCCTATTTCTTTTCTCTGATTTTTATTTTTAATTCAAACATTATGCATTTTTTGTCTTTTGTCATGATTTCAAAATTGATATTGAATCTCAAGCTATACTTTTTAGGTTTATAATTTCCTTATGTACACACTATATTGTGTTTTTAGTTTGTGTAAGTCTGCTTTTTACTAATTATGGTTTGAGTTTTTTTAATAGGCATTTGACCAATTGATGGTTGAATAGTAACACAGGCCTGTGAATTTAAACTTCATAAAAGTTGTTTTGGTTTTAGTAATGGATTATCCATAATTCAGCTACGTATTTTTTGAAAATGATATTAATTTTTTTTTATCATTTAAGGATTTTTTACAAATCGTGAATAAGAAAAAATTCTTACTTATTATAGTTATAATAATTATTATAATTTCGTTTACCAAAATGACCATTTTTTTATTATTATGTTTGTTAACAAAAATATAAACAAATTAAAGAAAAATGAAGAGCATTTATGTCAAATGAATATTCATCCTCATTCATCCTGATTTTGTGTGTGAAATATACATCTTTTAGTCTCAAAGCTACGTGTTGTGGCCTTTCTTTTATGTATTGTATCTGGAGCATGTCATTTCAATGACCAGCAGTAATCAGTCATCATGCTGATGTTCCACCTTTCCTGATACCTTCTCTTCATTTCCTCGATGTCTTGTTGAAACCTTCCCTTTGTTCTTTGCTGGCGGCACTGAGTTTTTCAGGGAAATAGTCAATATTTGAGTGTAAGGAATAAATTTTCAAGCTCATATTACAACCCAACTTTTTTAATTTATCGAGAATGTTATCGACAATATTTCGTAATTTGGGTCCTTGTGGTTTCCTAAAAATTTGTCCATAACATCTTTAAAGGCAATCCATACTTCTTTTTAAATTTTCCTCATTGTTCTTTAGAACTGTTCATCCAAAGTCAATTTCCTAATCTGAGGCTCAACAAAAATCCATTCTTTAAGTTTTGCTTCTGAAAGAGCTGGGAATTGACCACATAGATACTTGAAATAGTCACCATCTTTGTCTAAGGCCTTTACATAATGCCTCATCGAGTCCAATTTTATGTGAAGTGGAGGTAATAGAACTTTCTTTGTGTCCATCAAAATTTCACTTCAATGTTTTTCGATCCTGGTATCTGGCCATTGCTTCTTTATCCAGTGCAGATTTCATGCTCTGCTGTCCCATTTACGCAAATAAACATGGAAATTTTGTATAACCAGATTGTTGACCCAACAATATAAAAGGACTTTTAAGTTTCCACAAAGCAGCCAACCATGTTCTTTGTATTTAACCTTATTTAGAAGAAGTTCAAGATTTTCATACGTTTCCTTCAAGTGATCTGAATGAGGAATAGGAACAGATACATATATGTTATCATTGTGAAGGAGAACACCTTTTAGATTTCTTTTGGAGGAATCAATGAACAAGCACCACTCACTTGGTTCATAGACTGCAGCTCCTAGCATTGGTATTAATTCAGCAATATTGTTGCAATAAACCAGTGAACCTTCTTGCAAAAAGTATGGTATAAACTCTTTCTCACAATTTCTATATCATTAAAATGATGATCCTGAAAAAATAAGTTATTAACCCAAAGTCTGGACCCCAAAATCTCTGAAGAATCTTTTGGAATACCCAAATCCCTCACCAAATCATTAAGTTCACCTTGTAAAAGTTGTGGTTCACCAGACGTTTCGGGTTGAAAACAATCCCTCTCATCATTTCTATTGGCATCAGATTCAGAGTCAGATGAAACTGTATCAAGAGTCTCCAGTGGAGTAGGTACAGGTACATCAGGTCCATGAACAAGAAGTCTTATAGCAGATTGAAGGTTCAGATAAGAAATTTCCTTTTTATTTTGAGTGTTGTAGCCTTGCACGTGACATGAGCAAAAATAGCAGTCATCTCCGTGGTTTCTAGGCTCACACCAGATCACTGGAATTCCAATAGGCAAAGACTTTTTATACTTTTAGTCCATTGTCTCAAGTTTTTGACACAAACAGTGCAAACTTTGTTTGGAACCCATGATTAGTCTTGATCCCCAAGTTTTATTTCAAAATACACATAATAAGCTTTTTTGACTAATTCTGTATTGTTTTACCTTTGTTTTTTTACAACAAATTTACCACAAATATAACAATATGTTTGGGTCATTTACACAACCTTTTGATGCCATAGCAATAAATAAATAATATTGAAAAGAAAAAATAATGTCAAAGTGCACGCACAAACAAATACTATCCAGAAATGACACATCATGCGGCCTGTTAACCTTATATACTAGCGGTGTGTTTCATGCGGGTTCTAGAATGATCGATAAGACTCTTATGTCGCAATTGGTCTAGAATAATCTATAAACAATGGTTGTCAACATTTTAAGCATAACACAGTGTGACCCAATAGTATGAAACAACTATGAAATTGTATAGGTAAAGAAAATGTGATAAATTTTCTAATCTCTTGTGAGTTTTTGCTGTTTATTAATTTTATGTATGAAATTTGTTTACATAAATTATATTTCACACTAAAACCTGATGGATCAACATGCAACTGATGAGTTTTTCATAGCTGCTATTAACAAGTTTTCATGTCACCTTTTATCCTATTTTATTCCTATTTTTTTGTAAAAATCCCTATTTTAGCCATGAAAAAAACATTAACATTTTAGATGTATTAAAAAATAAATTGAACTTTTTAACCTTTGCATGATTTATCTTTTTATATAAAGCATTACGTTTTACCTGTTCTGTGCCATTCATTTTTAATTCTTTGCATATAGATTAACAAAACTTATTTGTATATGACAAAGCTATCATCTAAAAATGCCATAGCTTCTTTTGAAAGTGTAATTTAAGAATTTGGATTCATTGCCATTCTCTAGGTAGTTATGAAAATGTAAATTGTATAACCTCTATGAATGACTATTTATTTTGAAAGAAAAATTTTATATTGCCCTTTGTAACACATTACCGTGTAGTACATAAACCTTAAATCTATTAATAGCTGATTTTAAATTTTGCAAGCTTGACAGTTATGATAATATGAGAAGTATAGGTAGCTAAAGTATCTAAATTAGTATTGCACTACAATGTTTATAAACATCACTATGTGTCTGAAATTTAGTTTTCAAAGGCTGTATTCCTTGACAAGAAGTCTTGGGACAATATTTTAACATACTTGCATTCACTTTGATCAGATCTTGAGTTCTGTTAAAGCATTGTCCATGAGTTAAGTTTGTCAGGGATTAATACTGGCTGCTATATGGTGGATTTCTGTCATTTTTATGGCCAAATTGGCCACCCACCCTATTTATTAAAATCCACTGAGAAAGAGAGACAAAATACTAGTACTAGTAGGATTGCCCTGTTTGATTTAATGTTTACACTAAACTGAAACCAATACGTGATGCTCCTCTTAACTGGCTAATTGACAGTATTCAACTGG